GGGAACATGCAGAAGTTCAACAACTTTAATCATAAGGTGTAAACAAAACAACTGGAGCTCCTTCACGGGACTCAACACTTGCTTCATCTGGTTCGTGGCTCTCAGCACCGGCCACACTTGTCACTGACCAATCACAGAGCTTGCGCTGTGTGTCGTTGCGATGTGTAGTTAATTTTTTTTTTTGAGTGGTTCGCATCAACCGTGCGAAGGGTATGCGACCGATACGCATACACATGCTCTTGACGCAGAATTATAAATCAGCCTTTAGGGAAAGGGAGTGGATCATTCGACAGCAAGCTGGCCTGTTCAGCTGAAGTGTATATTGCGCCCTCTGGTGGATTTGCACGAAAAGAGGACACGGTGAGATCATTAAAAAGCATACACAGTGGCCTTTGATGGTTTTGCAAAAACAAAACCTGTGAGCAGACGTACATCCAGTTATGTATTTTACTGTCCCTAGAAATGTAGACCTGGGTACATATCTGCAATAAGCATGGGTTGGATTTGACAAATTGCAGCTACTGAAAAAGCCTGTTCCTTTAATGATTTTTTGACATAATATAGTACATCCACTATATTTATTGGCAAACCAGTTGCATCAGTTGTGTTGCTTCAGTGTTCTTTTGGTAATATTGCGGAACATTTGTACCATAGGAAGTGCATTTTACTTTTAGTGTGGCAGTACCTTTAAAGGGACATCCTTGTAGCTTATTTACCCATGCACCTTGAAAGTGCACATAATACTTCAAAGGTACAGAGTGCTACAGAAGTTTAAGGCAGGGGTTTCAGCCTGTGGTGGGGTGTGAGAAACTGACATGTACACTGGAGTAATTATTGACAGTGGATGTTGATTTACAGTAACATGACACAGATTGGCATGTTCTGCTCTTAGAAACAGGCTCAGCCATCACACTACTCATTCTGACTGAAATATTTTACTGAATCAGGTAAGCTGGATATGTCTGCAAGATTAATCGAAGGCAATTTCTTTGCTCATTTTGTCAGTAAAGTCAGCTGTAAATCTCGAGCCCCTGCTTTCAGGTAGAGAAGTGTTTACTAGAGCCATAGTTCAGTGGCAAGCTATGCAAACCATCCTGAAATCAAAGGGAACGGTTCTATGATCTGACAGCTGTGTGCGTGGCATCTCAGTGAACTATGGCTCTGTGTTTCCGCTGATCTGAAAGCATGTGAAAATAGACATGTTTTCACTTCTAACTCACCTCATAACTTCAGTCAAGTGTTTGAAATCCATTCTTCTGTGAAACGAGTCTATGGTTGCGTGTGGTTAGTAGCTGAATCCCTAAAAGTAGTTAAATACTCTGCTTTGTTTGATTTCCCTCCCTTCTCTTCTTTGTGGCATATTTACCATTTTCACTCAAGAGCGCCCCCTGCTCTTCGGAAAAAAATTTACTTAAACATAGTAGTGTTAGTAACTAATTTCTAATGAATGATTTCTTTTACTGACATGGTGACGATGTTCAAATTATTACAATGATATTTTTTTAAGATACTAGTATTCAGCTTAAAAGGCATTTAAAGTCTTAACTAGGTTAATTAGGTTGACTAGGCAAGTTATGGTAATTAGGCAAATAATTGTATAACGATGATTTGTTCAAGATAATAAGAAAACATTATTGCTCAAAGTGGTCAATAATATTGACCATAAAATGGTTTTTAAAAAATCAAAACTGCTTTTATTCTAGCCGAAATGAAACAAGTAAGTCTTTCTCCAGAAGAAAAAAAATATTATAGGAATAACTGTTAAAAATTCCTTGCTCTGTTAAACGCCATTTGGCAAATATTTGAAAAAGAAAACAAAATTCATAGGAGGGTTAAAAATTCTTACTTCAACTATATATATATATATATATTGTATAATGAGTAAAAATTAGACAGCTTTGGGTGGGTCCAATGTCCTAAAAATTTGAAAACCCCTGCTCTAAGTTGCTAAACTGCATTTTTTAGGCTTTGACAAGATCCAGAATTGTTGTTTTAAGGTTAGTCCTTCAATCTCAAGCTTTTGTAACCCTAAAACAAACATTTTTGCAATATTTTTTTTTTCTCAGACAATCTACTGCTCCACAAGACAGTAAATTGTCCTCTGAATTTACACTTTAGAATCTTGGCAGAAGCAGTAGGTCATCTGGGTAAGTTTTGCCTACTGTCTTTTGAATCCCAAATTCAGACACTACTTAGTACTATGTCTAATATGTATATGATAGTACACAGATTTACACACTCTTTGAGAACAATCAGAAACACCAATTGCACTTCAATATGCATTAAAGAGTATAAATTGTCTGATAAGTAGTTTGGACTACACTAAATGCACATGTATTAATATTGTTGATAAAA